TTGCAGCGGGGCTGCGCTATGTCCATCATAGCACAAGACTTATCGAACATCAATCCTTTACTTCATACATTTCTGAGCTACCCATATCTTCTGCATATTTTAGAATTAGGAACATGAAATAGCAGTCATTAAAAAAAAACACCTAAGTTCCTCATTCAGAGAAGCCATGTTTTCATACGTGAAACATTGCCTGTTTAAGGGTTTTGTAAGCTGTCTGTTAAATAAAAAAAAAAACAGGTAGAAAGGGAAATGACATAGAAACCACATTAATTAGATCAATTCCTATTCAACATCTTACTATTCAGAAAATCAAGTCTACTCTGCTATGTAATTCCTGCTAAAAATAGTTATTTTCTATCATTTTTCACAGAATGCAACACTCCCAGCCCTCCACACTGCCAACCCATGCTCCACACACCTCTCTCACTGGCCACCTTCCTGATTAAGACAGGGCAGATACAGTGACAGTACAACACACTAAGAGGCTTCTGCTTTCTCTTCTCTCAGGCCCCAAGGTGAGTAGACCCGCTGTACCTACCAGCACACATCAGAACTATCACTCACTTCAACTCTGCTACTGTGTTTCCACCCCCAGCATGAGCCTAAGGCTCTTTTTGCCCCTCTGATTTCAGGAAAGAAAACTGCGTAAGATAGGGGTATTGTCAACGCCTGACCTTGTGACTTGGACCAGCCACAGACAGGGCTGGATTCGCAGCACCTGACATCCTAGCTCTTGACTCTCACATCTAAGTTGTCTGCCTAAGCTCCCTCTATAGTTAAGGGAGAAAAATTGGTATGTTCAGGTACTTCCATCTATCCTATTTCAGACCTTTAGGATGAGAGGAAATCATGCCCTAAAAGTGCCAATTTCTCACCACTGACTGCAAGAGAGTTCTAGACAGCCAGCTTAAATGTGGACATGCATAACGTAGATACTGACTGCACGGGTCTGACTGACACAGCCAGATGAAAACATTTTATTTATTCTCATGAAGGATGACTTGACTTTGGAGTCTAATGTAATTCAGTTGCATTTAACACTGCACCCTAAATATGTACAGTTATAAAACATCCACCTGCAACCGTAAATCAAATGGCTGTTTTCCAGACCAGAAGAATTACAGGCAATATGAAATGAAAAGGTAATACGGTAATACGAAATGAACTGCTTTTTATTTAAAACACTCACCTTATTTCCAGTACCAAAGAAGAATTGATTTTCCAACCTTCTACAGCATGCTGGAAGATTGAGGAGCCACCCTTTTGAATTATCTTATCAGAGCTATTGATCATTGATCTACTCAAACTCAGTTCACCATCTCTGCAATGCAATATAGAAAAGACACAATTACATCAAGGCTAACTCTAGTCTTAAGTAATTTACGTCACAAGCACCAGTGATATTTCCTTTTATTCACAACAAAAAGAAGCAATTATCTCCCCTTCAGACTTGTTCTGCTTGCCAAAGCAAATAAAATGTACCTGTGAGAAATCTATGGGACACCTATATCTAATACTTGAATATGCAATTTAAGAGCTTAAATATGTTTGTATTTCTAATGAAATAGACATAACAAAAATTACAATAAACTCCAAATTGAACCAAATTGGACCAAACTTCAGTATGTTTGTGAGGCAGATTCTGCACCTCTGTGTTCCAAATTTCCAGTATTAAACTAAGAATTGTTAACTTTCAAGCTTTCCCCCAGCAATTGCTCATGTTCTACAATAATGGCTAATAGACTCCCTTTGCCTCCTATCGATAACTAAAAGACTTTCATGCACGGAATTCTGGACTTTAACAACATACAAAACCCAAAATTTTCCAAGACTTCCTGAAACTTTTCTATGCACACGTTCAAACAACCCCAGTTGTCTTATCCTCTTAATCAATCTTATAATATTCATAAATTTTGGTAAGGCAACCTTAAAAAAATTTTAAAAAATGTAGTAAGCTGTGGGTGATGACCACTGAACATCCGATGAGGTATTATAATGTTACCAGTTGCAATGATACTAGCCAATAGGGTCACACAAATGTGACAGAGAAGCTAAAACACTGCAAGCACAACTTAAGATGTTAGGTCTAAAATTTGGTTTATATCATCTTCCATACTGTTTCCGTTTAGGTGCCAGAGCAATGTTCTTCTGAGTTCAAACACAGTTGTTAATCATAAATATATCAAAGTTGTTGGATATAACATTCTAGCATGTAGAATGTCTTGTATCTCAGGAGTATATGTAACAGTAATATACAGAAATCTCTTCATTCTCTGAAATACTGCCAATAACAATAACTTCATTTAGCTTGTAAACAGAACTTTTGACCACTAGCCATGCAACCAACAAAATGGAAAAGATGTGAGATTGTAAGTTTTCTAGGGAATCGCTGACTCTTGTTTTCCTGTGGCTGTAAGTTCTTAAAGCAATTGGATCCTAGCCCTTAGTAAGAGCTACAGCAACATTACTGCAGTATATATAAAAAGTATTAATATTTGGTAAATTATATAGCAGACTAAACTCAAACTAACGTGCAATGGGACATTAATTAAGCTAAATTAACAAAGCTGGTAACATGTAGTCTTTTGCAAAAAGTGTTATGATTGTAAAAGCCCCTGTAACTAATAAACCAGTATTATACACTTCATCGAAAACACTGATCACTATCAACGCTCTCCCTCCCTCATCCCCTCTATGCCAACATGCTGCAGCACTGACATTCCACTGACTCACAGGTAAGAGTGCCACCTACCGAAAAACCTACAACTTTAAGCAATCGTGTGAGTACAAGATCTGTATGCAAATTATCCAAATCACGCTAACTTGAGGAAATAGGAGGATGCTGCAGAAGTCCTAAAATTCAATAACCATAATGTAATTAATACTTTTTGCTATTTTAAAATGTTTTATTTATTTATATTTATGAGGTAAAGTACTTAGTCTAAAAGTACTTCAGTACTTCAGTCTCCAGTTTATGCTGGGTTAAACGTTATCGAGTAGACACTTTAACAGTGACACAGGTGACAAAACTTAACACCTAAAGCACCATAGCATTTGAAATGTGGTTGTCTTCCATACTCGCAATTTACATCTGCAGGGAGCTATATATATTGTACAGTAGAATACTGTTAAATTCTGTTCTCATGAGCTAAAAGAAGGTCCTAGGCACTTTGTGTTAAAGTTCTACCATGAACACAAAGGTGTTCACTAACATCCTCCTCTCCCTTTTATTGGTATTGCTTAATTTTCACTTAAAGTAACATTAAATAAACTAACACATAAAAAGCTAAATTTACTCCAGAAAAATCTTCATTGTGTAAACAACTGTGAAATAAATTTGGGCTACTTTGTTTCTTCTAGAATCACTGCAAATCCTCTGTGATGTAAATGAAACAGCTGCCGTAGTGTGACAGCAACTTGCGGCTGACAGTGTCAACCTTCACTCTGAATTACCTTGCCTTGGTGACCAATCGATTTTCGGTGATGGTGCCAACCTTCACTCTGAATTACCTTGCCTTGGTGACCAATCAGACCAATATAATAAGACTATCTCTTCTCTTGAAGACAGTTCATTAAATATAAATAACTGTCTTCAAGCATATTCCACATCAGTAGAAGATAACACTGTTTAAGAAACACTGCATTCCACATAACATGCGTGTTTCATTACTTGCTTAACCTTTAAAGAGACATTACTGTCTAGCTAAAGAAGGGCATGCTTTCACAATTGCTGTCCTAGCAAACTTTGCTAGGAGAACACAGCTGATTTAAGGTTTATCACATACTTTGGAATTGTACATAGTCCATTTTGGAACATCTGGGATTTACCTGCAGTGTCACTAATAACCATAAAATGGGCCACCTCGCGCATGCAGTTCTGCATTACTGGTGCTTCTGGAAGTAAAACATCCCGTGGAAAACTGACTTTGCTTTCCCATGTGGCCAGTCAAAAATAACCAAACAGCATGAGCCCTTCCTTCAGGAGAAAGGCAAGTGTAACATCAATAGTGACAGCAGATACTAGTAGTACACCTAGGGTTTTTTTTTTCCTACTTCGTACAGTAATGGATGGGACAACGGGCTCAGGAAAGAAATTATATTCCAATATCCTTAGCCAAAGTGAGTAGCACCATACTGCACAAGAAGTCTCACTGATACCAAAGAAGTGCAGATATCACTAAATGACCTGGCAGAAGTACATTACAGCTGTATTTTAAAGCTTTGTTATGGACATACATATTTATGACTAAATACACTTATTTTCTTTCATTTAATATTAAATCATCAGTTCAGTTTAGTACCTTTTAAAACGTGTCAAACAATGTATCATAAGCTGGAGGGGGCTTTTTTTGCAAATATATATGGATTCTCCCTAGTGACTAATTTCTGAATCGTTTTAAGCAGCTACCTCTAGTCTGACAGGAAGGAGTACGTATTAAGAAGCATGGGTATCTTTAATGGTGATTCTCCCTCACACATTCGTTTTCACATGTATTTTTGCACACCTACAACTCCAAAATTTTAAACTTTTGTACATCTTGTAAGTATGCCGATACCACGGCATCGTGGCAGAAACTGGGCTTACACCCAGGTTGAACAAGAAGGAAAGTTACCAGCAAGTTGTGAAAATCTTTAACACCACGAGAAGCAAACATCGCATCATCAACCATACACACACACAGGCGAGGCCAACCCCTGCTCCCGGGAGATGCTGGGGCTACTGCCGCCCAGCTGTGCCCAGCTGCGCTCAGCTGCCAGTGCCCCGCTCCCGCACCGGCCTGCCTGGGGAAGGGGCATGCACTTTCTGCCTTTAACTCTGGGGCCCACGGGAGCGAAGGGGGGACTAAGTAGGTTGTAATTGCTCCACTTCATCCAGGCCCCTACGGGCACTTACAACCTTATGCTTCCTCCTCAAATTAAGGCAAGGGCTTACACCAAAGGACGAAAATCTGCTGTGAATGCATCCCCCCCCGAGTCGATTTGCACGAGCAAAGAGAAAGTGTGAGCCCCTTCCCGGAGGGGGGGCCTTTGCTGATCTCACTATGCCACCACGGAATTTATGCATCCCTCCTGGGAAAACAAAAAATTATACCCCTCCAAGGAGAAAGAGGCTTGGTTGAAAATCCAACATCTTCACAGAATAGCTGCAAGTTAGGAGAAAAATGAGGAACACAGGCATGCACATACACAAACATAATGCGCGTACACAAACATAATGCGCGACAAAGAGAAAGCTGAGGTGCAAACAGAAAAATAGCAAGGGAACTTTACGCCTTTTATTTTCAACCGAGGACAGGCAGGAGAGGGAAAATATATAACAGAGGGTCTCAGCGAGGGACCAGAGTTTCCAGCGAAGGTGCCTCGGGAGCTAAGGGGGATGTCCCTCACGCTCAGAGCAAGCATCCCCAAGGAGCAGCGAAGTTACGCACAGCCCCCAGGCAAACTTCAAGGACGGAGACAGGGGCCACCCGGAGCTGCCAGCGGCCGCGCACCCCGGCACGCTGGCCTCTGAAGGGCTCCCAAAGCAGGAAACGAGGCACAACGCGCTCCGGCGGCCGCCACCACCACCTCCAGCCACACCGGCCCTCGGGGAACAGCCGCGGCCAGGGGAAAGCCACCGGCGCGCGCCGTGACTGGCGCGGGTGG